ATTTTCTCCGCGCTGCACTTGCAAATTGATTGTATTTTAATGAAGTTCTGTTGCCCGCTAAAAATAGTCAACTCTCCATTCAGAGGGGCGGATCGCCGGCGTGGGGAAAGGGGCGTGGTGCGGGAATTTCTATCTGGGCGCATTCCAAGTGCAGCAATATATCGGCAGTAACTAATTTCAAATGCCAGCTATTACGACAAACTGGTTTGATCGGAAAAGCGTGCCTCGTATGCTCGACTCTCTTATTCGCTCAACCTCCCACCGACTGCCCCGCCCCCGGCGCCCCCTTCGAGAACGCTCGTGCGCACTTCTAACTGAAACCGAAATGATTCGATGTTTTCCCCGCTGCACCGACTTTAAGTTGAATAATTGTTGCTGGGGTTGCCCTGCACTGAGAAAATTGGTTGCAATGCAACTGGGAGTTCGCTATTCCTTTGCGGTTTGGAACAAATCGTTGCAGACCTTGAATGCCTCAGGCCAAAGTAGACTAAGCGCTAAATTAGCTTCTTAGGTGATCTAAACTTTTTTGCAGTGCACCATGGCACACGTAACCCACTGGTCAACTGCCTGACGGGTCTAGGAAACGGGTCGCACTTCGGGTAACCCCCGGGACGGGGCGTTACCTGATCCGAACCCAAAGGGGGCTGGCTTCGGTATTAGGGGCCATTTGAAGGATCATTAGGCATGCATGGGAAAGACCGTCAATCAAAGCGTGTTTTTAGGAACGGGAACGGCTCCCCGCACCTAAGATTATATTTCTGGCACAGTGATATGGGAGTTCTTTGGCTTTGCCACCGCTGATAGAGGAAAAGGATTGAGCGACCAGACTTTGGGCGACAGATAAGACATGTCTGGGAAGCCATTATCTCTCTTTACACGCTGATAATAACAGCCTTAATCGCTCTATTCAAGTACCAACTGTTGGTCCCTCAGGGGTGTGTACCTAAACATGCAACTTCAAAAAGTTCCTTACAGATACAGATACGCCCTGTTACCCCTGCTACCTTGGAGCAAGTTATGGACTGCTGGCATAACCCTCCGTTGATCTCTCTTTGCACAACTTGCACAGCTTGCAAACCAATTCCGATAGAACCCATAGACAATTACGTTTATTCTCGCCATGAGTCACCTGCAGTGATTCAGCAGGGCGATCCAACTGCATCCCCCGGTTGCCTAGGGCCACCCCCCCAGTCCGCACTGTGGCCAGACAGTTTGCATTGGCTTGTGAAACACGGGCAGTGGACGAGTATCTGTATCTGGTATACCCGCTTGGCTAAGCACTCTCTCCAGGGGAACTGCCCAGAGTTCTGTTCTGGGACCCGCGCGATGCAACAGGTTTGATCCGATATACTCGGCTTTTACTACTCGGCTTGGATTTTTTCCCGCTATTCAAAGTGCCACACAGCTGAAATAAATTAATTGCTTAATTGTTGTGCTGCCTTAGCGGCACTATTCGACATCGAGATGAAATTTGCTTTTAATTAAACGCTCTCCACAAGGCGAGGGCGATTCTTTCCTTCTGAAAGCTGGGCACCATTGGGCACGGTGAAAAGCATTGCACTATTAGATGAAAGGTTAATAAATATCATTTGAATATTGGGTTTTCATAGGTGCTTACCCAATGCCAGCTGACGATCTGTCTTCATGGTACCAAGATTTCCCGTCTTTGCAGCACTGTCTTGGGTGATCTGTTGAATGGGCTTGGTTCTCAGAGTTTCGCCCTGTGTATTCTCTGGGCTTTCCAACCTTCAGAGACGCCTGTGCGTGGGGGTTTTCCTCTGCCCCTGTGTGCGTCTCTGTGGACGTGTGTGTTTTGCTTTTATTGGACCAAAGTCGTGCGCTTCGTTAGCCAAAAGCTGAGTAAGTGAGTGAGTGAGTGAGTGAAACGCGTTCTGCGTGGGATTCTCTAATACGATGATGGTGGCTGCTATTTGGGTTTTGGCCGATTCTAAAACTGGTTTTCCACTTGGCCAACTTGCCCATCAAGGAGTCGCCCCGAAACGAAATCGAATGGCAGTTGAATAATACGGACAAAAACAAAAACATAAACCACAACAACAAAGAGCTAAATTGCGCATAACATTTGAATAATTAAGCACTGCCTTTCTCGCCTGTTTAGTGTCGTATTGGTGTATATATTGTTTAAGATTACCGGCCAGGGATTCTCCAGATTCGCCACAGAAATTCCTCAGCCCGCTTGACCTGAATTCTTCGCCAGTCTCCCCAGGGAAATCTCCAGAGCATTAAAGGAAATATTTTTCCCTCCGCCCACTCTTTCGGTTTGGGTTTCATAATCGAAACGAAAGCTGAGCTCGCGATGTTTCGAAATCCATTACTCGGATTTCCAGCTTAGCGTCTTCCTAGGGATCCTCACTCCGCAGATACAAATGTATCTGAGTTGGCTTTGCCCTTTTTCCAGCTCTAACGGGAACCGGACCCAGACGGAACCTCTGACGGAGCGGTGCAGCTACATCGTCCCGTCTCTGTTTAAATCTGAGTATCTATGCATCTGTGCTGCCTTGATTTTCTCATTTTCTCACACTCCAGAGCCGCCGAACGAGGAACGCCAGCGGGCTTGGGACCATAAAGAAAAGCTGACTCGGAAAAGGGTGCTCTATGCGAGCAGGAAAAAGGGGAGTGGGGAAAAGCTACAGAACGAGGAAATGTAGGAAGACGGAGTAGGTTTTGTTCGGCGACTTTTTCCGGGCCCTCTATGCAGCTAAATGCTTTTGATTTCTATTTTCGATACACAAGTATGTGCTTTCATGAGACCGGCTTCTAACGGTCGCTCTACTGTTGCCCAAATGGAAAGCTCATCTACTGAATGAGCGTTGACCAATTTGAAATACAAAGTCACTTTGAGTATGTTTGGTATCGGATTATTGAGCGCAAATACCCTCTCCACAAGTATCCGCCTGCCTGTTTGCTACTCGGATCACGGGAACTACTCGGATCGAGAACAGAACTGAGGAAAACCGAAGACACCAGCAGCAACAGTCATAATTACGAGGTTAACCTTAAGAGTTGACACAAATCCGGGCCAGAGCCAAAAGCGAGGTACGGCGGCCTCTGTCGCTCGTTCCCAGCAATTAACTTCGAATGACACCAAATGCCACCGAGGCACGCCACCACTCAGTCCACCGAGTCGCCATCAACATCCACCATCTGAAGTCTAGAGGAGCCGCGCCACGCCGCCCACCATCGGATCGCAATTGCAAGTGAACGGCAACTTTGATGCCGCCCACAAAGCGACAAAGTTTCCATACCCTCGCCAAAGGGTATCATTATCATTACTGGGCTCTGCTGCGCAGTGATTATGTGTTTCATTGCTTAGGACGACGTCGTTAACTAGCTGTGTATCTGTCCAGGGCTTTGAGACGAAGAGCGGTCTATCTCAGCTTACTTGACAATACTAACTTGGCAATGAAGCATTATAATGGAATACATCTCACTATTTCTCGATCAACTCCCAAATGCAGGTGTTTGGATCATCCAATCGATTCGTAGCTAGCTAACATATCTCATCTGCAGGGTATCCAAAGTTCAGATCCCGAATTCGGTGTCAGTTGGGCTTCTCTACCCGCTGCCGACGATGTGGATGCCGTTGATGATCTTACTGGCTTTGGGCATGGGCAGTTTTGCGGTTTATTTGATCGGCGTTCGACTAGCATTCCATCGATCTGTATGTGGGACTGGATGGCGGAAAGGGAGCGGAATGGGAAGTCTTACAATTTTGTAACGATCGAGAGATGTGCTCCCCGATACACAGAGGTTCCCTTGTGAAGTGCAATTGAAACACTGTGTGAATTTTGTAAGCGCCGAGCTTTGTTTTGTCAGTGTGTGCCTGTTTCTGCGGCTTGTAACTCCATCTAATGCAGAGAGCGAAAAGTATCTGTTCTAGGTCTAGTATCCACAAGTTCGCTTTGGGTTGTACATAAGTATCTGCCAGTTGGACACAACCGTTCCACAAGTTCGCTTTGGATTGTGCATAAGTTGAATGGTAGTGCATAGCTGTTTTTCTCCGTGTATGAGCCTGCTTGGCCACCGCTCCCCTCCTCGCCACCGCCCCCTGAGAAACCCACGATCTGCGTGGCTCATTCAATTCAAATGGCTCGTGATTTCGTAAGCCCGCTTTTGTTGTTGCCCCGCTGGGGGCTGATGGAGCTGCTGGAGCTGCTGGAGCTGCTGGGGCTGCTGGGTTGTTGCTGCTGCAGCGGATTCGAGATTCGAGGCCATCGAGAGACGACTGCAAGTGCGGCTTTGGCTGCAGTTAGACGTCGAGAGATTTGCAGCATTTTTCTCCGTCTCCGTCTCCGTCTGCGTTTTGTTTCTTTTTGTGTGGCGTGATGACCTTGAGCCGCTCATTTTAGCCAAGTGGCTCTGTGTGCTGGCCAAGTGGCTGAGTTGCCAGCATGTGAGGGAGCATGGGTCGGTTACCCAGTTCCAGTTACTTTTGGCACCTCTCGTCGGAGCACTTTATCTTTCTTCGCAGCACTGGCCATTGAAAGCCGAGGCACAAAGTCAATTACAATTATAATAAACTAGATAGTATTGCGACCCGGGTTTGAGCCACTCACACCACTCATGCCACCCTTACCACATATTCCAGCCATTCTAATTCGACTATACTATGTCTACAATTACGTGATATATGGCAATGGCAATTGTTTGAAATAAAGTTGCACTAATGATGTTTAATATTGATTGGATGGCGTTGTCTAAATAAAATGTTACAGCTCAGGTCTTTGTTGGCTCCTGTATATCCTAAAAACTAGTTGTTTTGTTATTTGTATTATCTATTAAATAAATAGGGCCAAAATAGTGCATTGCGACCACGGAAATCCAGGAAATCCATTCGAGGTGCCCGCCATTTGAGATCCTTGGGAGGATCGGCTCTGGGTCTCCGCGATCCTAGTGGGGTGAAGGGCAAACCGATCAGATCGCCAAAATTAAAGGTTTTACTCCAAGCACTTGGGAAAATTAAAAACCGCCATCTTACAATGTAAATCTCGGTATGTGAAACGTATACCCCTTTTCAGCTTGTCAAAGTTTTGGATTAAAATTTAGGCCCAATGGAAGTAAATTTTTCAGTACGGTGGTTCGTCGGCTGCCTGGTAATTGTAAGTTCCTCCGGCGGACGGAGGAATATCCCGGGTCCGGGCTTGGCTGCGGTTCCAGCGGATCCCATTCCCGCTCCCCATCAGATATCCCTGGCTGGCCAACCAGAGCAGCAGAGGATCATAATGCCACCCAATGGGGATATCGATGACAATGGGGAAATTGAAGTCATGCTGGGGTCTTTTAGCGACACCAGTGTTAAGGTGTGCAATGCTCTCCGCTACGGACCGACAACCTACGGAGGTCAGGCCCAGTTGACCACTAGCTGGCTGGCTGGCATCCCGACCAGCCTGTTTCTTACCCGCCTTGTCAGACTTATGAATCACATATATTATTCAAAAACTTACTAGTTTTCCTGCGCTGGGCCATATAAGCGAGTTATTTCCCAAAAGGCAAGGGTGGGAGAAAGTGCATCGCCATTTTTGATCCAAGTTTTCTGCTGTCGCAGTCCGTTTCTTATGCGTTTCGCGAAATTGTCACAACCCAACCGATGACCTAATTAGCTGGGGGCTCTTGGGCACACAGCCAAGATACGGGGGTATTCTTGGGGGCCTGTTCTTGGCTGTTGTTCGCTGTTCTTGGCTTCTCCGTTCACGTTTACTGAGTTAGCAAGAAATGCCTCGAATGTTGCAACAGCAGCGCTTCGGGCCCTCATGAGACATACATTTATTTGGCCATCCAAAATCGAGCGAAGCGAATTTCGCAAATAATTGGAGCAGTTTGCCAGCGCTCACGTTTTGGGCAAGGTAACACTTGGCCAAGGTAAAGACAGCTCGGATGTGCCATGCGAGTGTGTGGAAAAAATGTGGCAGTGCCACGCCAGAGTGAAGGGAAAACTCCGGAATCGATACCCATGCTGTTTTCTTATCGCCGGAACGGGAGGGAGGATGGGGATGAGTCCTGTTGCCGATTAGCCGCTGCCCTGCCACGTCGATAAGGCAAATCAACACTCGATAAGCGTCCTGGGACAAGGCCCATGGCCGTCCTTATCGCTGCCAGGAGTTAGGGCGGCTATCAAAGTGCTTGTATCTGCACTGAAAGATTTCGATCTCTATCGCCATGCGAATCATTCCAGCGCAGGGTAAGCGACTTCTGGCCAAACTGCAGTTTCAGTTTCCCAACAGGGTTTCAGATTGTTTTTTAATGATCACCAGTAAGCATATTTCCATCTTCCAACACACGACGTTATTGTTTTCAGTGTGTCGGGCCAAAATGTGTCTTCTGTCACCATACATCCTGGCATGAATGACTCGATTCGCTGATATGGCACGATAAAATCAAACAAAAATCAATACTCAGGTCCTAAAAGGAACGGCCGACCGCACATTGCCCACTATCAGTGCGTTCTTCTGGGGGCGTTGACCAGGCGCGCGGTCCCGAGGTCGCTTATCAGCGGCGCTGGGGAGGAACACCGAGAGCCGCAAGTCTGGGACATTGTCCGGCGATGACTTTAAAATCCTCCCGGACGCTCGAGGGGCGGAAGACCCGCAGAGGCTTATCACAAGACCGGGCGGCGAGCGTAAATAATACAATGTGGAGGGCAGAAGGAAATGCCGGCGCGGAGGAGGCGGCAGAGTTTTTCCTCGGCCCGGGAAAGCAGGAGAAAAACGTGCGATAGGCCAAGGGGCAAATGGGCAAATGGGCTGAAGGAAAGCGCAGAAGAAAAACAAACCTTTGGCGCTGGCAAAGTGCATTCGCCCCACCAGGGAATGGAAGTCAATGCCAGGAGTAGGGGACACTCGGCGATATTTCAAGGGGCTAATTCCCGAATGTAAACAAATTAATGCTGAGAAATGCATGGCACAGTGCAATCTGTTTCAGAGCAGCCTGCCCAGAAGCAGCTAAATCATATTTCTATTTCTAAGGCAAAGGATCGTACTTTTTCTGCGAGTGTACTGCGCTATGGGTGCCTAGGACCAGGGGAAATTGGTGCTGCTGAAGTGGACAAGTGATAAAGCAAGGAAAGGCAGAAGAGCGCCGCGTAGAATCCATTAGCAGTCGCTTGGAACGGAATGGATGGAAACTCCCGATGGGTGGGGAAACGGGGAAATGGGAAAATGGGAAACGCGGGGCGGGGCGGGACGGGGCGGGGCACGCAGAGCAGGCGGCAAAAAGTGCATGTGAATGGGAATGGAAATGGGTGCATGTGGAGTCCGCCAAGTAGCAACCAAGTGCATCCCGACTCCTCTTTTTCCGTCTCTACCTCGCCACTTCTTTTCGTGGAAAGGGTTCAATGCTCGATTTCTTCCAGCCGCAGTGGTTGCCATGGGAAAGCCACGAGACGGGGAAAACTGTAGGGCAAATGCCTCTGGGCAGGATCAACCCCCAATTACGTTCAATTAAAAACTCGAACAAGCTGTTGTGTAATTTGTGAATTCTGCGGGTAAAGGATCCCTCCAAAAAGCAACTTGATTGCCTTAATTGAGGTCGAGGCACATTCAATTCAAGAAGTTGTGCCACCGAAAGGGAGTAATCACTGGATAACACGCGTCCGGCGGCATGTCGGATTCCGGAAATTATGCAGGATCCGCGGATGCTACCGATCGGGTAGTTGACTTCCCGATGAGGGCAGGATCAATAGTCCTGGGAACGAAGTGCATCAGAGGAATACCTTCCCAGCAGGGAGTATTTATGTGAAATATAATAGTAACCATCTTAAAGCAGCGATAAAATATATTCAAGTCATAATTTGATGTTTTCGAATGAGCTCCCAATGTAAAGTAAACTGCATTTAATTGATCTAACTTCTTACATGAGCCTAAATATTTTTTTATTGCTTATGGTTGACCTATTTTCTAAACGCCCTCTGACTTTCTTTCAACCAGTGAACCACCCCGAACAAACCAAAAAATCGCTCCTCAATCTGTTCGTCTAATTATAAACAGCCATCGAGTTGAGCCGATCCTCGACCGAGTTCAATGATCCCAGGAAAAAACCTGAAGGAAAAGTGGAAGAGCGCAAAGAAAAGGGCAAACAATGACTCGGCAGACAAAGGAGAAGAAAATGGAAAAATGCCAGTAGATAGGGAAGGGAAGAGGCAGAAAGGCTGAAAGGCTGAAAGTCAATGATTATGAGTAGCCAAGACAATGAGGCTGCAAAGGCATGAAAGGACGTTCGCCACTCACGTGGACCGAATGCTGATCCTCGAGATGTGCGTGCTGCGATACGCGTGTGTTCCAGGAATAGCAAACAGGACACGCCCACGCCCCCGCCCCCGCCCACGCCTTTGTCAAGGAATTTGGAAGGAATACGATCCCGCAGGAGTCTCAATCCGAGCGCTAGTTGCTGTTGAGTAATTTGTGCGCTGCTGATAAAAATCTGTTAGGCGGTTGCCAAACGTAAACAGAGTCCGGGGTGGAAAAGATTATCATTACACTGTGAGAAGGGAAGTACTATTTTTGGACCACCTACGCACTTTAACAGAAGAATTTATACTTAAATAAATTTTGTAATAATTAGTATATTCGCCAGAATGGCAATGATGCTTATGGCACGGATGACAGACCTTCTATGGACAGTGGCAAGAAAACGTTGTTTTTCCCAGTGTGGACTTTAGTTAACCCCGGTGCGCGGGGGTGTGATCGGTAGCTCCTTCTGGTCGGATGCAGGCGGTCTATTTTGGGTCGCGGAATCGGGCACTTAAGGCTTTATGTGGGTCCTTCCCGGGGGTTGCGATGGCTGGTGCGAAGGGTGACCTTCCCCTGCTTTGGGGGTAAGTTCGGTGCTACTTCGGCTATTTGTGAGTACTCCTGCATGGCAGTGCAGGAATTGTCACTCTTCATTACGGTTTCCATAAACAGCCCGCAGATTGCAGCAGCTCCTTCTGCCAGGACAATTGCCGGGGACTGAAACTTCCCACATGGGCAGCAATATATCAATTGAACGATCCCCGCCGTCTCTTAACTTTTGCGCCTAATGAAGCGTCGCTGATTGATGGATTGGAAAGCAAAACTCAAGGAGGGAACGGAGATTTTCTCCTTAATTTCAATTAATTTACCATTAGGATGCCAATCGCTCGATCGATCTGGCCTGAAAATAGAAACGAACTTCGATGTGTGCCGCCTCTATTTTTATGCTAAGCAGTCGGCCAGGTAAGGAGAGTGCTCCTATAGGAGCGAATTCCTGTTCCTTTGTCTATCCACAAATTGCCGGCAGATACACACACACACAGACACAGACACACACACAGGCAGGCAAATTGCATTTTTATCTATTTTCTATTTTTACTTGGAAAGTGCCAGCATCGCGGCGAATGCAGCTGAGCGCGCGGAGGATTATAAGGCCTATCATCGACGACGCCGCTTCCTTCCTGCCTTCCTGCCTTCCAGCCTTCCAGTCTTCCTGCCTTGCTGCCTTCCTGCTGCCGCCGCCCAAATAGCTGTAATAATAAAGTCGATCTCCCCAGTCAGTCCCTGTTTTCTGTAGGATGCGACAAGAAAAGCAGGAAAAACTCCTTGGCCACTCACACAGATACACACTGCAGCCACTGCAGCCGCGCAGTTGTCGTTGTCCTATCCCAAAGAGCGGGGATCGTTCTCCCCAGGCCCACAGTCAGTGCTGTCGGGCTGGCCGTTTTCCCGCCAGATCTGTCCTTGTTCGGCTATTGTATCTGCAAGATAGTCTAACTCAATTTTACATTTTTATTTAAGTTCTTCTATATTTACAGTTTTTGGGATTAGGCCAAGTCTGGAACGGTGTGTGTGAACCTTAAAGATTTTTTGTATTCTTTTTATTATAAAATAATGTTTTTTCCGCATGCTCAATTTACCATAAATTCTCTGCTATCCTAGTTTGAGCCACAGAAACAAAAAGAGGATAAGATACATGCTGTTTCCAGTACGTTAGGCGATTTTCTCAATTCCATCTCGCCTTATCCTGTGGAAAGCAGACGGCTGCCATCTCTGCTGCCTGCTCCTCTGTGTGAGGAGCTGCCGCTTGAGTTCACTGAACCCCCGTCACCTCGTGGGGCAGCGCATTGCCTAGTCGCCGCCTCTGCCAAAGTCGGCTGCAGCTGCAACTGCAACTGCAACTGCAGCGGCGACGGAGGCAGCGCCTCGCAATCCTTTTTCTTTGGGCTTTTCTCGGTGCACCCTTCACTTGATCTCTGGTGATCTCTGCCTGCCTCTACGCCCAGCTGGATGCGGAATGTGGTCGTGGTTGCCCCATGTTGCCAATGCCGATGTCGATGCTGCTGCTGATGCCTCTGATGCGGCTGATGCCCTGCCCAAAAGGAGCCGCGCAGGAGTTCTCAAGGGTTCCAGTGCGATGCGGATCGGTTCTGGCTGGGGGCTTTGGATTTCACTTCGTGTGGGGAAATGTAAACACCGCCGTCATCATAATCGCTGTCAGC